CAACTCTTTTTTTAGTTTGCCTGATATGTACCGGTAGACGATATCTTTACAAACATTATATATGTGAAGTGTTTTTGGAGTTTGAAATGTTCAGTTCCGTTTTGATTTTTTGCGAATTACAAAACTCTTGGTGTGAGCGTTGGTAGTAGTTTTCATAGAAATTACTTTATCTTTATTGTACAGTATCCACCAGACATTCATTCCACTGTAAAAAGCTGTACTAAGGCTAGTGACATTGAGCCAGCTAAAGTATTACTATTTAACTGAGGTCCTGACGCGTCTTACGAGCTAAACTCTGTTTTGAATTCCCCATTTCCTGAGCTGGGCTCTCGAAGTTATCGCATTGTTTTTCTAGGAGTTGATAAGACGTTGCTGCAGATGAGCAAATATCTCATAAGTCAGAGCCGACAATTTTTTTTTCATGAGAATATTATTAGGCAAGCAATTAGCGGACTAATAACGGCATTGGTGTCGTTCTTATCTCGTATCTCTCCCTCTGCGCTTTGTTGAGGCTAACACTCTCGGTAGTAGCGCTCATTGTAACTGATTTCGTTATCGTTAAATTTGAGACGATATTTTTGGAGAAGTTATTTTTGGAGTCAGTCCTGTCGAAATGAATTATCGAAATCTCGTTATTTCGAATAATAATAAGTTTTGGCACCGATTATCTGCCAAAATATGTTTTAAAACCAATATTGAAATTGTGCGGAGAAAATTCACTTGGTGTTTGTTACTCGTTCGAACGCAAAAGAATTTGAAGTTTCAATAAAATCTTTCCCATGAGCTCTTGTGTTTGAACCAATGCAAAGAATGCCGGAAAATCAGTAAGATTTTACTACTATTTATACTTCACGGAGGCTATTAACGATGCACATGCAATTTAAAACAATGTATTTAATCACGTTATCGACACTCAACCAGGAAAACTGTTGACGTTATCGAGAAGGCGCTAATCGCTGCATAGATGAGTCTCTTGATTAGATGAGTCTTAATGCATACCTAGATGAGTCTTAATGCATACCTAGATGAGTCTTGTGCATAAATGAGCCAGTGGATGTTTTATTAACAGCGTGTAGATTAATGTAGAATTAATATCTGAAATCTAGACAAATGGCAATCAATTTATGTTATCACGCAAAGATTAAATATCTCACAGTTTCCTGGTTCTTCAAGAACGTTATAAAAATGCATCATCATCGTGCGTTCATCATCGTGCGCTCATCATCGTGCGCTCATCATCGTGCGTTCATCATCGTGCGTTCAGCATCGTGCGTTCATCATCGTGCTTTCATCATCAAATTCAAAAATATTTAGTTTACTTCGCCCAATGTTCATTCAATCAATTCCAAATCATTCAAGAAGCATGTAGAAAAAAATATTTTACCAAAAGATTTTCGTTAACATTTTTTGCCACGGCTATGCTTCCTAACAACAAGAATTTCGGTCCCAATGGCGAGAGAGTGTCAGTTACATACGAGATTTTCAGTTACATATGAGTTTTGTGAAGCGTAATACAGGCAATATACGAGATATGTGTGACTGACAATAGGTAATACATGAGATTTGTAAGAAAGAATATGAGCAATACATGAAATTTGCAATGTGAAACATATGCAATATATAACATTTGTTAGGCGAAAGACGGGCAGTGTAAGAATATTGTCATTTATATAGAGTCACAAATATAGGATCAGTCTGACATATAAGTAGTGTTACAATTATCAATTATGAGGGACGTGACAATTTTGAGATGAGTGATTGTCCGGACGATTCATGAATAGGCTATGATACAAAGGCAGTTACCGAACGAATTTTTTATTTTTTTCCTTTGTTTTTCTTGTATGCTGCAGAAGTAAGAAATATGATTCTTTAATTGGAGATAAGGACAGGTTGCATATCACTGAACATTGAAACTGGAATGTACCACTCTAATAATTTCGACTAGGTACATTGTGGGTAATCTGGAAATAAAGTTGTGACGCATACAACTAGTATTTGAATGTAAAAAGTGAACACTGAATTAATAGGAAAGGATTCTATTAATAAAACACTCGCATCAGTGATTCGAACCCCTCTAGGTGATGCGGTGAAGCATCGACGTATGAATATTAATCGGCGACTAATATTCGATTAGTACTATTCAATTCTATTCGGCGACTAATATTCGATTAATACTAGTCGATTCTATTCGGCGACTAATATTCGATTAGTACTAGTCGATTCTATTCGGCGACCAATATTCGATTAATACTAGTCGATTCTATTCGGCGACCAATATTCGATTAATAGGGTAACGTGGGGCAGCGCGCCCCCCACTTTTTTTAAACTAAATTTTTGATGAAGTTTTAATTGATACGAGGTGGTTCTTTGTTTTGTTTAGAGGTGCAACTAATGAGGAATGTATGATGTGAATTAGACGATCAGCTGCACACGCGATGCTGGCCTCAGCTGCACACGCGATGCTGGCCTCAGCAGCACACGCGATGCTGGCCTCAGCTGCACACGCGATGCTGGCCTCAGCTGCACACGCGATGCTGGCCTCAGCTGCACACGTGATGTTGGTCCTCAGCTGCACACGTGATGTTGGTCCTCAGCTGCACACGCGATGTTGGTCCTCATCGGCACACGCGATGTTGGTCCTCAGCGGCACACACATTTTTTCCTCGTTTCATTTCTTGCTAAATTAGAAAAATGTATTCCAAAAAAGTAGTAATAATAGCGTGCAGTGTCCTATGTAAATTGTACGTTTTTTCTCAGATTGAATGTGATCATCAACTTGAATATGAAAACAACGAAATATGTTGAGGCGGGAACCACCTTCATGCAGTGTTAATCTGACTAGATTCGGAATAGAAAAAATCTTAGTTATTCTATTCTAGAAACGGCAGAACTGCATGACTTTCGTAAAATTATAACCACTTTATATCTCTTTAAAATGAATAAATTTCTTGGTTTGGGAGAACTTTCGAGTTGTAATTTTAAATTTAAGAATACTAATTATATTTTAAAAACGGCTGAAATAAAAATCGTAAACTTAAAACAGACTTTTTATCGCCTTAATATGAATAAATTTTTTAGGTTGGGAGGACTTTCAAGCTGAATTTAAAAAGTTATGAATATTATTCTGTTTTTGAAACGGGTGAACTGACACTCGCGAAATTATAGGAGAGTTTTTATCGCTGTAAAGTGATTAAATTTCTAGGTTTGGCAAAACTTTCAAGTTGAATTTAAAAAGTTATGAATACTAAATCAGTTTTAGAAACTGCTTATTTGATACTCGTGAAATTATAATAGACTTTTATCGCTTTAATGTGAATAAATTTCACTGTTTGGGAGAACTTTTTAGTTGAATTTAAATAGTTATGAATACTAATTCCAATTTAGAAACGGCTGAATGGATACTCGTGAAATTTTAACAGACTTTTTATCTCTTTAAAGTGAATAAATTTCTAGGTTTGGCACTCGACTCGAGACTAGAGACTCAACCCAACATGCACCGAAACTAAATAATTTCATCTATTATTGCACGCACCTGCATCAGTGCACGCACCTGCACCAGTGCACCTGCATCAGTCTCGCGTTGCTCATAATATTATTTAGTTTGTTTCAAAGTATCTCACTGACAAGTTCCAACGGATAAGAGATTTATATAAAAAGTTTGCCAACAAATTGTTGTTAGAAATTGTCACTGCTTTATTCCCATTGTAGCATCGACCAATGTGGCGGCATGCTATAACCACCTTACATTTTTCACTCGAATTTTTTACACTGGTAAAAAATTCGCCAATTCCGAATTCATTTTTTCTTCTTTTGCATTATTGTTTTCCTAATATGAGGGCTAGCAATGAAATTCCACAGAAAAGTTTTTCTGACATCACAAGAAATGTTTACATTTTTAAGCCGAAAGTCTATCTATATATGTTCATTGGAATATGTTTCAAATTCCCTATTAGTTTTGAATTTTCTATAATATATATTGATCCGACCACAGTGCATGCATTTACGTGCGATTTTCATTGATTTATGCATGCAAAAAGGCCGCAGGAAATTATTTGGTTTTCGAAGGAACTTTTGTTTAATGCGAGAAAGCACCGTCGATCGTGATTATAGGTTCTGACATAAAATAATATATATATTAATTCAAACATTTGCGACATTATTATTGATTTAAGATCTCATCGATCGTAAATCGTGGTCATCATGATACGACATGCTTAATATTTTACCGTTTACATTCACAGAAAAATCAAGTTATATTGTCTACCAGTGCGTGTCCTAATCTTCATCTAAACTATTAACAGACTAAAGTCACTTTACCTCAGCTTTTCATCTAATGAAAAGGCATTGATTATATTATTATGATCATTAGATTAGTCTTCCCCTCAATTATGTGCATAAGTATCTTTCATTTCATTAAGGAGCGGCCATCGCGTGCTTCTTATCTCGTCCGATGATCACGGCCAATATTCGGGGCATCGGTTTACCATTTCGGCCACTTATAAGTAACACCATTTATCAGTGCTGCCACTTATCAGTGTTGAAACTTTTCAGTGCTGCCACTAATCAAAGCATTCATACACAGCTGTTCATCTATGATGAATGACATCAGTAATTATGTTTCCCTGTACAAGAATGATGAATGATATATGAGGTCATATTGCCATATATTGGTCCAGCTTCTTGGAAATATCAACTAAAAGATTATAGATAATATCTTCTTTGTTTAGTCACTCTGCCTTATAATCTCATGATGGTTCGGGCTTATAAAGGGTCGGGGCTTGGCTGTTTAGGTTCAGTAGCAGACGAGGTTCAGTATTGTTTAGTCACTCTGCCTTATAATCTCATGATGGTTCGGGCTTATAAAGGGTCGGGGCTTGGCTGTTTAGGTTCAGTAGCAGGCGAGGTTCAGTAGCAGGCGAGGTTCAGTAGCAGGCGAGGTTCAGTAGCAGGCGAGGTTCAGTAGCAGGCGAGGTTCAGTGGAAGGCTCAGGAGATAACGTCATGTCATTCCCTCAGTTACTGGTGAGCCCTTGATAAAGGTTAGGTCATTTAGCTATTTTCATCATTATTACCACCTTACATTCTTCACGTGCACTAATTTCATTTTACGTGTTTCATCACTCTAATCATATCAAATTTTTATTTGCACTAATATCATTCAATTGTGAGTGACATTCATGCATCAAGTCATTCTAATAGACATTTCCTTTGCGCATTAGGCGATGGTGTTTCAGTAACTAACGCACGTATTATCAATATCAATATTTTTTGTAATAAACGCATCGGCATTAACGTGTTGGTGATGCATACGTGAAGCAAATACGGAAGTTTAGGTTCCAACAGCATGGAGACGACTATGACGGAAGCGCATATCTTAAATCATCGATGTTTAAAGCCCCAATCAAAAAATCAGTACGACACTTAATGATTAAATGGATCTGAATCTGGTCACTCCGACTCTGATCTTCGTCAAACCTCCATCTTTTTTGGATAACTTGAACCATCATAAAGGGTTATATTGTAATCATAATCCGTAGTTCAAATAATTCAGCACTGATAGCAGCTTGGGCTGTTCAATACTAGCAGTTCTATCAAACTTGTTTTTTGGGTACAATAAAGCACAACGCTCTTATATATAGTAACAAACCGCTTATAATTGACTTGCGTGAGATTTAATTACCTACGTCTTAATGCCACTAGTGACGCTAGTCACCCAATATTTCTATTTCAGATGACCTGCTCCACGCTATTGGCGTGCGTAACTGGCCGTGGACCGTACTGGGACCTGACTAGTGACGTCACTAGTAACTACTCTAGTTACCAGAAGTGGGACGCCATGCAAGTGGCTGAGTGGGCCCCGGCGCACGCTAGGGTCAATGGGTCCAGACTCATGCTGCTCCCTGACTGGTGTGAGTTATCCTTTCTTTCCATTAATAGGAAACATCTTTTTATATTATCTTGAGTATTTCAAAATGGCGGTTACCGGTGGATGTTCTTACGTCAGGAACTTGCGTTAAGTGCAATTGTCGTACAATTTCTCTCCTGTGCACCGCTATTTCAAGCACGGTATACCTACGTCAGGCATGTGCGGTTAGTGCAATTGTCGTACAATTTCTCTCCTGTGCACCGCTATTTCAAGCACGGTGTACCTACGTCAGGCATGTGCGTTGAGTGCAATTGTCGTACAATTTCTCTCCTGTGCACCGCTATTTCAAACACGGTGTACCTACGTCAGGCATGTGCGTTGAGTGCAATTGTCGTACAATTTCTCTCCTGTGCACCGCTATTTCAAGCACGGTGTACCTACGTCAGGCANAGCACGATGTACCTACGTCAGGCACGTGCGTTGAGTGCAATTGTCGTACAATTTCTCTCTTGTGTACCGCTATTTCAAGCACGATGTACCTACGTCAGGCACTTGCGTTGAGTGCAATTGTCGTACAATTTCTCTCTTGTGTACCGCTATTTCAACTACGATGTACCTACGTCAGGCACGTGCGTTGACTGCAATTGTCACTCTAAATATGTATATCCTGTGAACAACAAACTAAATTTGGATGTTCCTACGTCAGGCACGTGTGTGGAGGCGTGCAGAATGCAGTTGTCGTGCTTGTCAGTATCAGTGCGCGCTGCCTCTGACGTGAGCGTCAACTGCAGCCTGTCAGACGTACGAGGCAACCTGACCACCATGATACCAGCGAGCGGCTACACGCACTACCAGCGCTCAGGCGTAGGTAATACGCATGGTGGAGTGGTGGTCTTGGAACGGTACTTTCGATTTTAAATGCTCGCTACTAATTTTGATGAGCTAAATATCCTAAATATTATGATATTTGGGCTTTGCTAATAGTTTGATGGGCTAAGTTTTTCCATGAATAAAATATGAATTACTGAATCATTTGTTAGCTTGCGACCGATTGAAATTTTGAACCATTATATAATTTAATATAAACTAAGAAAATGTTAGAACATAAAAATAACTAAAACTCTGAAATAAACTTGATTTGCACCCCCAACTCCTAATATTAAGAGTGTGAGCACATTGTCTCTACCCAATTCTACCTTCTAAAATTGGTTGAAGTGGTTGGTGGCCCAGTGGTTACAGTTCAGAGTACCAAGAATGGCGGAGAGAGAGGGGGGGCCGGACCTCTGTGCGCCAGTTTCTTTTCAGAATCGGCAAGGAGGCCGGGCGGTTAAGCAAAGAAAATTCGAAGCAGTGCTTGAGTTGCGAGTTCGAGCCCGCAACAAGCTGTGGATGTTCTGCGATGTTAAGAATCGGTGACAGGCCTACGGCCTAATAAACGCTGAAACCGCTATATTATTATATTACTATTATTTATTCACTCCTCATTTCCACCCTCACCCCAACTCTACCCCTACCCCCCAATTCTACCTTCACTCCCCTCACTCCCCCAGCTCGTCTCCAGGACCACTGCCGGACCGACGACGAGTGTGCGAGCAGCGACGTGTTCTCGGTGTGTCGTGACGGCGCCTGCACGTGTCGCAACGGCACCGTTGCGGACGTGAACGGCTGTGCAGGTGAGTCATGCCGGTAAACTGTCTTTATTCACTTCTTTGTAGGCTGCGAAAGATAACATAACTCATATTATTTATTCGATTGTAAATCTCAAAATTACTTTAAATCATTTTTTTTCTTGGTTGTGAATAATCAAACTGTCTTGACTCACTTTTTTGCTGAGTTGTGAATCATTAAAATTTTTGGATTGGTTGTAAAGTGACATTTTGGTTCAAAATCATTCGTCAAGATGAGGAATTTTGCAAAACTATGCAAGCGACGTGTTGTTTATAGCAGCAGTTAAGCGTATTAATAAATTGTATCTTTATTGCGTGTAGGTATAAGCGAAGTATGGCCTAAGCTGTTATTCCAATATTACAGTTAACTGCAGCAGCGGATGGTTCCGAGTCGACTTATCAGACCGCAGCAACTGCTACTTCATCAGCACCGACAGGATCTTCAGCAGCGCAGCCGTGGACGCTTGTCAGTCCCGGGGCGGCGTGCTCGCTGACATCATCAGTCAAGAGGAGCAGGACGCGCTGGCAAGTCAGTCAACTCAGTCAGCAATACTTTAGCTCAGTGCAGCAGGCCTTTCATCTAATTTCAACTTTCTCAGGAAGGCAAATTATCATGCTATCTTATCTTGCCTATGCATATACCTACGACCACTGCATATACCTACGACCACTGCATATACCTACGACCAATGCATATACCTACGACCACTGCATATATTTACGACCGCTGCATATACCTACGACCACTGCATATACCTACGATCACTGTACAGATTTACGACCACTGTACATAATTACGACATTTTACGGTTGTTACGACAGCGCTGCTGACGCGCTACTTTACGATCTCGGACCGCCTGCTGTTTGGCCTCAACGACGCTGCGGGGCCCTGGGCCTACTGGGGACGGGGGGCCGGCGCCCCCAGGGTGGACTTCTTCTCGTGGGGGAGGGGGGAGCCCAACAGCCCCCTCGAAAAATGCACTGTCGTAAGTGATGTTTCAAGTCGTGCCGTAAGTCGTGGCGTAAGTCGTGGCGTGAGTCGTGGCGTAAGTCGTGGCGTAAGTCGTGGCGTAAGTCGTCGTGTTGTAAGTCTTGTTGTAAGACGTGGCGTAAGTCATGACGTAAGTCGTGGCGGGATTCGTGGCGTAAGTCGTGGCGTAAGTGGTGATGTAAGTCGTGGCGTGAGTAGTGGCGTAAGTCGTGGCGTAAGTCGTGGCGTAAGTCGTGCCGTTAGTCGTGGCGTAAGTCGTGACGTAAATCGTGGCGTAAGTCGTGGCGTAAGTCGTGCCGTTAGTCGTGGCGTAAGTCGTG